TAAATGTGGTGAGAAGTGGTTGGAATCGGAACACATGGTAGAGGTCAAGGCAGCAGGGCTGGATACTGGGCAAGCAGAGGAGCCAAGGGTCATTCCCAATGCAGTCATCTTCAAGACACAACTGCAAGGCTGGAGTCATCACCTGCTGGGCTGGGAAAACCTCCTTGATGAACACAGGGTGGGCAGGTTGGTGTGGACCCGGTAACTAGAGATGCCCGCTGGATATAAATATGGGGGCGCCAAGTTGGCAGTGAAGTAGGCATGAGGGGAGTTCAGGGAGAGCTGGGGGATGCTGGTCATAATGCGAAGGACCAGTACCTGGGTGGTGTTTGGGAACGTGGCGCTGGGTGAGGTCACCCACATCCAAGAGGAGAATCAGTCTGAGACCCAAGAGGGCCTCAACGTGTAGAGGCCTCAAAATGCCCACTCTAGGCAGGAGAATCTGAACTTAGTTTAGTCGCTTGTCTTGGGACCTCATTTGGGGTGCTGAGGGTGGAGGACATGAAAAGAGAACTGGATTTGAGTTCAAAAGACCTGGCCTCTGTCCCCAACTGCAGGGTAGCATTTCACCTCTCTCTCTGAGCCACTCTTAAGTGGGAGCCTGCTCCCCCACCCACAGCACAAGGTGATATGAGGATCAAGTATGGTGATTGCCAGAAACGATAACAAGCAGGAAATCTTGGTCGTGGCTTAGTTCCTCATAGAGGGGCCATGCTCAGAAATGCACAGCTCTGGTGAACGCACATAAGAGAATTTGATTCTGCCATTAAAAAACAATGAAATAGCGATACCAGAATGTCAGGGTCATGTCCCACAGTGACAAAGAATGAACCCATGATGGAGGGGAGAGGGTGCAAACAAATTTATTTTAAAATATGAAGGCAAGGAAGGAGAGCTCCTGCTAGCCCGTAAAGGTCCTTAGCTGGATGCCCAGGCAGGCTCTTAGTCTAGGAGTTTTCAAGGCATTTAGAAGGGAGCTCGGGCTGTGGTACAAGGGATATAATCTCTATCCTGTGGGAGACGACATTGCTTCTCAGGATCTAATCTATGCTGTGCCCATGCAGAGCCCATGAGCCTTTGAGCCAATAGCCTGCCTGACCATGCTCTGGCGAGGCCTTGGACAGCTGCAGGACCCCTGGCAGATGGTTCTGGAATTTTTCTGGAGGGTGGTGACTCAGCAGACTCCATTTGGGAGCCACTGTCCTTACTGTCTAATAGAATCCTAGCTCCTAGCTCCATACTGTCGTTTGTGGCCACGTGGATGGAACATTATGTTCAGTGAAATAAGCCAGGCTCAGAAAGACAAATACTGCACATTCTCATTTATATGTGAAAGCTTTAGAAAGTTCATTTTATAGGAATCGAACAGTGGTCACTGGAGGCTAGAAAGTGGGGAGCCGGTAGGGGGGGTCACATAATGAAGCAAACTACAGTTAGGATGAATAACTGTAGGCTTCTACAGCCCACTACGGTGACCACAGGTCACAGTGATTTAATATATTGTATAAAGAACTAGATGTGAGGAGTGTGAAGTTTCCCAACACAGAGATGATAAATGTTCAAGGGTAAGGAAATGTTAATTACCCTGACTTGATCATTACATGCTGTATACATACTGTATCCCATAAATAGGTACCATGTAAACATAATAATCTAAAACATCCATGTTCATCCTGCATCCAACCATAACATCTCATTCATTCCACAAACAGTTCCTGGAAGTCCCCTTCGTACCAGAACGCATTTCACCCAGCAGTAAGAGTTCACACCATCCCTGCCTTGGCGGAGCTCATTTCCTGGTGAACAGACCATTGCCCGCAGCCATTTTTGTTGGTTTTTTTTTTTTTTTTTGGTACCCGGGATCAAACTTGGGACCTTGCGCTTTCGAGCCAGGCGGTAGAAACACTGAGCTAAATCCCTAGCCCCCACAGCCATTTTTTATAGAGGTTTCCTACACTTCAGATCCTTCATGTTGTGGTTTTTAAATGTATTCCTAGTTTTTGTGTTGGTTTCTAGAAGGTGAGAAGACATCACATCAGGTTTCTCTCTCTCTCTCTTTTTTCTTTTAGTTGTTTTGAGACAGGGTCTCATCACATAGCCCAGGCTGATCTTGAACTCACTATGTAGTCCAGCCTGGCCTCAAACTCATGGCAATTCTCCTGTCTCAGCCTCCTGATTGCTGAGACTACAGGCGTGCACCACCACACCTTGCTTCAAAATTTTATTCTTAAATGTGCAACAGACTCCAAGACAACACTTCATGCTAACTATAGGTAGCAAAAGATGTTACAGTTGGGGATCCAGATGTTTGAATAGGAATGGAATCTAGGGTCACCATCATTTTAGGCACAAGGAAAGTTTGTTTTTTGCCAGATGCCTTAATTCCACTGGTGGCAGGGCCCTCCCAGCAGCCTTTGTTTCTGCTCCTCTTTTTCAAGGCCTTATCTTCTCACTGTCTCCTTGGCCTGCTTCCAGGGGCTCCTTCTTGAAACCTCTGCAGTGGACAGGGTGCCTGCTGACCCTCACTGGTCCCCGCTCCGAGCCAGTGATTCCCAAGTCGGGTTTCTGTTTCTCAGCATCCCTCTGTGACCAGCAGAACACAGGGGTGCAGGGAATCATTGCTCCATTTCTCTTGGTGTTGGTTTTTGGTAACTCGGGCTCCCCCCAACCTATCAGGTGGCCACAGCTGTTCTCTGGTATAAACGGAGCACCTGGAGCTGCACGTGGGCAACTGGCAGGGTGCTCCACTATGACCTGCAGGATGCTCCAGGTCTCTTGAAAGCCCAGTGCCCGGGTGCATCTTGTGCCCTGGCCAGCAGGAGCACCCACACTGCCGGCTTCCTGAAGGAAAACTTGGAAGCAATAGCTCCATCCATCTTTCCATGGAGAAGGGAACCTGAGACAGAAGGCGTGGCCTCTTCTGATGTTCAGCCTCCTAACTCAGGGGAGGAGACATTGCGATCACTGTTTGGGAAACACATTTAAAACACACAAGACTTCAGAGCCCATCTTCACCACTTCCTGCCCGTGTGGCCTTGAGCTACACCCTGCTGGCTCTCGATTTCCTCATCCATAAATAAGTCATAATAATAGTTCCTATCTCCCAGGGCAGGAGGGCAGGTGATGACTGAGTGACATCATGCCTATAAAGGATTACATGGCCAGCCCTCACAGTGCCAGCCATTATGATGGGAACCAAAGGCAGAGGCCTGGGGCCAGGCCCTGGAGAGCTTCCAGTGTTGGGGGGCGAGGGGAATAAACTGGCTGGGGCAGCAGTTGTTCTGGCTGCCGCATCCAGAGCGGGCCTGCTAGGGTGTGGGTGTGACTTTTCATTCATTCATTCATAGGACTGCGGATTGAACACAGAACCTTCCCACTGACCTACATCCCCAACCCTTTTTTATTTTGAGACTGAGCCTCATTAAATTGCCCAGGCTGAGCTGCAATTTGAAATCCTCCTGCTTCAGCCTCTGAGAGTGCAGGGATTACAGGCATGCACTACCACACCCAGCTGTGACTGTGACTTATGGGAGGGAGTGTGAAGGTCTGACCTGGGGGTGCCACTGTCTGACATCAAGGAAGGACCCACTTCTAGATGTTTTGAAGCCATAGCTAGCTATGTGGATACAAAGCCCAAGGGAGCCAAAGGGTTCAAAATAAAGTTATATGACCAGACCTACGGCGATGCCATTAGCAGCAATGGATTATGTGGAGATAAAGACATCAAAGACAAGGGATGATCCCTGGGAGGTGAGTTCAGAAGGGATTTCGGTGGAGGGAGTGTCCCTGGAATCTTGGTATGCGGCCACTTCTGGTCCTTAAGTAACCTCTGAATGCACTGAAACTTTATCTCTTCGCATCGCTTGAAAGACTCTGACCTCAATTAAGTGTAAATTCGAGGATAAATGGGCACTATCTAGGCTGCAGGTGTAGCTCCGTGGCAGTGTGTGTGCACAAGGCCCTGGATGCCATCCCCCGTGCCCCAACATAAACAAATAGAGGGATCAGCATCATTGGAGGTGAGCGCTTCCTGAGGTCACTGACACTGCACTGATCGCTTAGACAGGGTCCCTGTGGGTACCCCAACTGCAATCCCCCTCCTCTCAAATCCACCAGACAAGGCTGGGGAGGGAACAAACAGCTCCCGAGAGCTTCTGCATACATAATTCTCATTTTATCTTCATGCCTGCTCTATGGGAAAGTCACTGTCCCCCAAATGGGACAAAGTGACAAAGTCAAAGCAGATCTAAGATGGAGCCCAAGTCGGCTGCCTCCAAAAGCCACACTTCCCTCAGGACACCTCGCTGGCCCTGGAGATGACAGGAGTGGTAGGACAAGGGCTTGGGACACTGTCTGAAGGACAAGGGTTTCTATTTGACAGGAATGTAATGACTCAAAGCCTCCACCCTGACTCTGTGCAAGGCACCATAGCAGTCAAGGAAAAGGGCCTCCTTGTGCATTTTAAGAGGTTGATAAAAAAGTACTGGGGGTGCAGCTTAGGGGTAGCATGTGGAGGCCCTGGGTTCCACCCCAGAACCAGGGTGGGGAAAAGGCTAAGAAAAAGCATGGGAAATCCCTGGAACCTAGACAGACAGGCACAGGAGGATGTGTTCTTGGCTCTGCCTTCTCACCACATGACCCTGATTAAATTATTTCCCCTTTCAGCCTCTTGGCCTTCAAACGAATAGTCCAATAGCAAGTTTGCAACTTCACAATCTGACAATGAGCTGGGCGTGTGGCACAGGCCTATAATCCCAGAATTCTGGGAGCCCAACACAGGAGGATGGCAAGTTCCAGCCCAATCCAGGCAAGTCAATGACTTAGTGAGATCCTGTCTGGAAATATATAAAAAAGGGCTGGGGATGTGGCTCAGTACAAAGTCCTTGTCTGCAAGCCCCAGTACCATCAGAAGAACGAAAAGAATCTGATGATGATTGATGTTATCAAGCCAACTTTGGAAGTAGAACACACAAAATTTAAAGTGTGAATAACCACTGATTTCTTGGAGTCTCTCCTAAAGATATTATGCATAAGTGCACAGCACATACACACAGGATGTTCATGGCAACACTGTGAGTCATAATGACCTCAACGTCTACCATCACAAGACTGGCAAAGTATATTATGATACACCTACACCTTGGAAAGGTAGGCAGCCAGGAAAAAGAATGAGGAAAGTATGTAAGTGGTAAAGAGGAATATCACTTGGATACACCATGGAGTGCACCAAGAAAGATTTGTCAAACAAATTATACATGGTATGAGCCCAGTGCTATTTTTCAATGTGCACAATAAAACACTAAGAAGGAAGTACATAGTGGGAAAATTTTCCCCTACAAAAGACTTTATATAATTAAAATTATTTTCATCTATAAAATGATACATAAAGTAAGACCTTATGGATCTCATCTAAGTAGTTTGAGTCCAGAGTGCTAACCATTGTGCCATAGAATCTTTTTTTTTTTTTTTTTTTTGAGACAGGGTCCTGCTATGTAGCCCAGGCTGCCCTTGACCATGTGGTGATCCTCCTGCCTCAGTCTCCTGAGTGCTAGGATTACTTTTTAAGCTTCAGTTTGGGGCTGGAGGTGTGGCTCACTAGTAGAGCATGTATCTAACATTCCTGAGGTCCTGGGTTCTGTTCTCAACATCAGAGATGAAAAATAAAATAGGGTCTGTATTTTCTGTGTCTTTGAAGTTTTTTACTTTCATTTTTCTGGTAATAACTTTTTATTATATTCTGTATACCATTCTGGGATGGAAAATTGGGAAAATTTTTTTAAATGGTCTTTTCACACTACATTTGTGAGAAGCTCTGGGTAGCTGGAGGGTTGAGTTAGCCAATAAATCACTCAATAAATGTCTGGATTAATGAGCAAGAGTGAGCTACCCACAGAAAAATGCCCAGAATCTAGACTTCTCATGTAGAGCCTGTCAAAGGGGGAGTGCTCAGGACTTGAAGTTCATAGCCAGATTCCGTATGACATCACCGAACCCTCATGCTCCTGGTTTGATGTATTTTTAATCCATTTATTCATTTATCTATTTACTTACTTGCAGTATTGAGGATTGAACCCAGGGCCTTTGCACTGAGTGTGTTACACCCCAGCCCTTTGAAAAAAACTTTATTTTGAAACAGGGTCTAGCTAAGTCATCCAGCTGGGTTCAAACTTGTGATCTCCCGCCCTCATATTTGGGTTGGTCTGTTTGTGTGTTTCTTTTTTTTTTTTTGGTATCGGGGATCGAACTTGGGTCCTTGCGCTTGCGCAGCAGGTGGCAAAACCACTGAGCTAAGTCCCCGGCCCCTGTTTGCCTGTTTCTTACAAATTTTTATTTTTATCGGTACACACCTGTAGTACATGATTACATTCATTGTGAACTTTTTGTGTGGTTTTGTTTTGATACAGGGTCTCACTATGTAGCCAAGGCTGTCCTGGAACTCGTGAGCTTCCTGCTTCAGCCTCCTAGGTGTTGGGATCACAGGTGCGCACCACCACACCCAGCTTCATGCTCTTGATTTTGCAGATAGAACTGAGAAACCTTTTCCCCCAAATAATGGAACTGACCAACAAGGAAAACTCACCAGCAAGGGCCATACACAAGTAAAAAGAACTCTTTGCTGCTGCTGGTGTAGACTCAGACAAGGTTAATGGACCAAGATAAACATTCTCCTTCGCCTCCTGAGCATCAAACGGGAAACACAGGCCACACAAAGCCCTATCTTAAATTCTGCTGTTGTGAGTGGAAGATTCTGAGCACACTTCGCTCAGGGTAACGTGGGCTGGGGGTGAGCAGGATTCAGCCGGGGCTCATAGGTCTCAGGTCTGCCAGGAAGGCCTCGCCCAGGCGGGAAGTGCCTTCCACCTGAAGTGTTTGCCCCTGAATGGAGAGAATCTTCCCTGACCAGGAAGCTTGCTGGGCACACCTAGCTTCTTTTCGAAAATTCTCATGGCACTTTCCAGAAACAAATAGATCTGGAATTAGAAAAATGCCATCTGATTAAAATATAAATAAACTTTACCATGCAAAGTTGCTCAGTAGAAGAGGCTCAGGGTAGATCTGGGTTCTAAGGCCAGGCTTTCCCCTCCCTCCCCATGTGAATCTTTAAGACAAGCTATCTTCCTGTCTGCCCATCCTGGGGATCAAGCCTACAGCCTCACTCACTAACACGGGTTCCACCGGAGCCATGGCCCAGCCCCAATCTTCGCCTCTGCAGCCTCAGTCTCCACATCTGTAAATGGAATAATAACAGACCTCGGGAAGCCTGGCAAGGTAGCACACACCTGTAAGCCCAGCACGCGGGAGGCTGAGGCAGGCAGGAGGATCACGAGTTCAAGGCCAACCTGGGTAACATAGTAAGTTCAAAGCCAGCCTGGATTATATAGCAAGGCCCTGTCTTCAAAACCAAAACCCAAACCTAACCCAAACCAAACAGGCCTGGGGTAATGTGAGGATTCTATGTCTACGCATGTGGACAGCCAGCCTGGATGAAGCTTGGCTTGCGGTTCTTGCTAATCAGACCAAAGTGCAGACCCAAAAGTGTCCCGGCGAGCTGCAGAGACCATTTAGTCAGCGCTTCCCATGGCCCAGAACAGTGTCGGGTAAGACATTTATAAGCATGGGATGGGTTACCCCCCCCCATCACTGAGCTGCACCCCCACCGCGGGTGGAAATCTCAGCCCTCCAGAGTGGTTCCTCTCTGCGTCCCATTTTAGAGACGAGAGTCAGAGAGGTGAGGCGCTGTCCACGACGTCCACCTCAGAGGCAGTGCTGGGCGCCCCAGCTGGTCACCTCCTCAGGCTGCCTTCAGGTTCTTGGCTTCCTGTTCTACGCTTTGAGTCCCAAGACCATCAAACTGTGGGCATCACCTCTGGCTGGCTTCCGTGTTGTTCCCGAGCCTCTGTCATCATTGGTATAATTTTACATCAACTTGGCATTCCTTGAAATTAAAAAAAAAGTTCACTTCTTAAATGTCTCCTGAGGTAACAAAAGAATTCTATAAATGATTTTATTCACCCCTCCTTAATGTGGAACTCAATAAGGCTAAGTCGCTGGATCTCCAAGAGCAAGCTGGGTTGTTTGTTGGTTTATTTTCATTTTGGAAACTCTTCTCCAAGCTTAACCATCTCTCTCCTCTCGGAAAGCTCAGGGGAGGAATTCCAATTAGATGCTGGGGCCGAGGAGCAGATCACCCAGAGGGTGTCTCGTTTCCAGACACCTCCTGGAAGGCAAGGAGCCTTGCAACCTAACTCTCAGCTGTCTTCGTACCTGCAGCATTGTCTCAGGGCAGGGGAAAGACACAGGAATGCTTTCTGGTCTCAAACAAAAATTATTTCAGGGAGGGATGGATGGTGGTGCACGCTCACAATCACAGCACTCCTGGAGGCTGAGGCAGAAGGATCATAAATTGAAGCCCAGACTGGGCAACTTAGTGACTCTGGGAGAGCCTGTCTCAAAATAAAAATAAAAATGGGCTGGGAATGTAGCTCAGTGCAATGGCCCTGAGTTCAATCCCCAGTACCGGAAAAAAAAAAATCATAAAGCAAGAAATTTTTTTTTATTGTTTTCCAGACAGGATCTCATTATGTAGTCCAGGCTGGCCTCAAATTTGTGATCCTCCTGCCTCAGCCTACCAAGTGCTGGGATTACAGGTGTGCACCACCATGCCTGGCAAAGGATGACATAATTTTAAGCTAAGCATTGAGATGTACTTGACTCTATAGATGGCAATGGGGATGGCTGAGGTCTCTCTTATCCAACCACTTGGGCGGCACTGCCAGCTCTACTGCTCCCCTGTGTGAGGCTGGTCAAGTCACTTAGCCTCTCTGTGCCTGCATTTTCAAATCTGCAAACTGAGGATGACAGAGGTGCCTCTGTCCATAGAATTCTGTGAAGATGAAGCAGGGTTTGCTGGGGACCGAGGGGTTTCCTGGGAGCCTCAGGGTCCAACTGGGAAAGGCGACCCTGTAAGAGCAGATCCCCTTAGAGGAAGGGAGCCAACAGATGCACACCTTTGGGGTAAGCACCTGCTCATTCCGATGCTGCACCCGCTTTAGCTGTCATCGTTCCAGGCCACCCCAGCCTCCTTCATCCCTTGTGCTTGTTGCTGTGCCCTCCTTTCCTTACCATCGCTGTGCAGGGTTTACAATGGGCCTTTTATTCCTACAAGGAGACTGGCATCACACTCCCAGAAGTCCCCAATAAGTGTGTCTGATTCATAGTTCACATGGTGATGCACATCTATAATCTCAGCACTCAGGAGGCTGAGGCAGGAGGATGGCAAGTTAAAGGCCAGCTTCAGCTACCAAGAGACCGTGTCTCAAAAAAAAGTTTCTGACCCAGTCATGAGATAAACATTAGAAGAATTTTTACTAGGTACCAGGCAAGAACTGTTCAACAAGTCCTGTAGCTCTTTCTTATGTAATTTAAAGGTTAAAAATGGGAATGACAGAGGAAAAGGAAGAGAAAGATGAAGAGAGCCCCTCCTTCCCCTGGGTTGATATCCATGCAGGCTTCTTGTTTACCTAATCTCTTTCGGTCTCTCTCTTCCCCCACACCCAGCACTGGGGATTAGGGATTGAACCTAAGGCCTCACACTTCCTAGGCAAGCACTCTACATCTAATCTACATCCCTAGCCCCCTTTTTATTTTATTTTATTATTTTGAGACAAGGTCTTGCCAAATTGCCAAGTCTGGCCTTGAACATGCCATAATATTCAGCCTCCAGAGTAGCTAGGATTACAGACAGGCATCTGCCATATACCTGGCTATTTGTCTGTTTGTTTGTTTGTCTTTGTGGGGAACTCAGGTCCCCATACACGATAGGCAAGGACTCCACTAATGAGCTACACACACACCCAGTACAGTGACAGTTTTTTGAGAGCTTGCTAGTTCCGAGGTACCACAACAAATATCTCACTGAATCCTCATGAAAACCTCATATTACAACTATGGAAGCCAAGGTGGGGGGTGGTGGCAGTTCGCTGCAGGCCCTGGAAACCAAGTACTGCCCCAGAGCCCCCGATCCATGCATTTCACTAGTTGCCTCCTCCTCTTCCTCCCTTGTCCCAGCTGTGCTTTCTGGCCCACGTCCTGCCCTAATGACAAGCCCCACTGCCTTGGGCCAGAAGTTCCACCTCTTCCAGCCTCAGTCTGCTCCTGGGAAGAGCAGGAATACTGTGCACTCATGGCAAGTAGTTGTGAGGACTGAATCTTGTTAGATGTGTTTTATGAGTTGTTATGTTTCTTTTTTCTTTCTTTTCTTTCTTTCTCTTTTTTTTTTTTTTTTTTTTCTGAGAATGAAACCCAGGGCCTCATGCATGCTAGGTGTTGCTCTACCACTGAGCTACATGCCCAAGGTTTTATTGTTTGGAGGAGAGTTTTGTTTTGCTTTGGATTCGTTTGGTTTTTGAGACAGGGCCTCACTAAGTTGCCTAGGCTGGCCTTGAATTTGCCTAGACCTCCAAAGTAGCTAGGATAACAGGTGTTATCCTAGCCACACAACTAGCTGCTATGATTATTGTTATCATTACTACTCCATCAGTATGTCCCCATCATAAATTGAATTCTATCCCCCAAAAGGGTACGTTGAAGACTTAACTCAGTACTCATGAATGTGACCTTTTTTTGAAACAGGGGTTTTACAGATATAATGACATTAAGATGAGGTCATTCAGGTGAGCCCTAAATCCAATCACTGACATCCTTATACAAACAGATACAGAGACAGACACACAGGCAGAGCGGGAACACACCACGTGATGACAGAGGCCAAGACTGGAGTGACTCAGCTGCAGGCCAAGGAATGACTGCTGGCAACCACCCGCAGCCACAAGAGGCATGGAGCATCCTGTCCCTCAGAGCTGCCACAAGGAACCCATCTCAGGGCCTTCACACTGAGCTGCATCCCCAGACTACCAGCTTCCATGACTGGGGGAGAACACACTTCTGTCATTGAAGCCACCAGCTTGTGGTGCATCTGGTGCATCTGGTCCCTAACTTAAGGTGGTTCCAAAGCTACACATTTAGTAGAAACCATACTTTGAACTTTGAGTTTCATCTTCTCCCAGGCCAGCCCCAAAACATAAGGGTGAACAGCCGACAGCCTATAGTGTGCGTGTTGCTAAGTTAGGATGTTCGGCAGGTTAGATGTACTAAATGCATTTCGACTTGAGCTCTTTTCAACTTCTAGTGGATTTATGGGGATGTGACTCCCTCGTGCTTGAAGGGCATCTGTATTTTGTTACAGCAGCCTGGCAGACTAATGCACAAGCCGAGCCCAGGCCTTCAAGTCTCTTGCGTACACAAAAGTGAGGGTCCTTCAAGAACAGCCCTGTGCGCAAACGGGCCTCAATTCTATCTTAAAACACCCACTCTGCTCCCAGACCAGACTGCAGTGACCCCCGAGCACCTGCAGGAGCCTGCTCCAAACTTACTTGAGGGCAAGAATTGCCAGGATGCCAGTGAAAATTACCCAACGCCAGACCCCCAGGAATGGGCCCCCAGAGGGGAGGCCCGGAATCTCCCAAGCCCACTCTCCTCAGACAGCCCATCCTTAGTAGGACCGGCACCCCCCCCACACACAGCACACACACCCCACACAGAGGGCATTCATTCCGGTCACTGCACCACATTCAACCCCTTGCGGAGATTTGAAAACCAGAAGTGGGGCGTGAGCGAGTCTCGCTTCTCTCAGACAGGGAGGGCCACCTGGGAAGCTCCCCACACAGCCACCTGGAGGGAGGTGACCCCTTCACCCAGCTGTTCCTCTGCAGTTCCCACCTAGGCCCTTCCACCTTTCTTCTCTCACCCGGGTCACTTGTTCATCGTCTGTGTCCCTTGTGCGAATGCGAACAGCCGATTCGCCAGTGAGGCCCCCGCATCTGGCCTTGCCCCGCACACAGCTGGACCTGAATAAACCAACAGGGAGGAAAGGAACGGATAGATGAAGGAGGCTGCCCTCCTTCCTCCCTACCCCACAGGCCACCCCACTCTTTGCCCTTTCATCTGGCCCTGCCTTGCAAGACTCATTAATTCGCTGTCCGGAGTGCCTGCCCCCTCCGCACGTCTTAGTAAAGCACAAATCTGATTCTTTCCGCCCCCGGTTTGAAACATTCTAGGAGTCTCGGGGCATGAACCGCGCACCCCAGCCTTTGAGCCCCTCCGGGTCTGCTTCCCACCACCCAGCTCCCCACAGTGGGGGCTCCCCGCCCAGCACCGGCTCGCTGGCCCCTGCCCTCTCGCTGCCCCCCCCCCCCCACGCCCGGAGCTCGGGGTTCCTGGAATGGCCCCGCCCCGACCTCGAGGACTCCTACTCATTCCAGGCCTACATCTGGCAGTCCTTTCCCCGGGAAACACACCAGGCCCCCTCCCCTGCTGACTTAGTCATTCTCTCCTCGGCTCCCACTCTGCCTGTTCTCGCTCTGGCCTCAGCTCTGAGTAAGAGCTTAAAATAGCACCCGGTGTCTTCCCTGCGATCCCTCGAGTGTGCCAGGCACCGAGCGCTCGCACGTTATCTCCTTAATTCTCACACCCATCCTGAGCTCCGAAGGCTCCCCTCCCACTTCTCAGAAGCCTTTGTACCACCCTCCTGCTTCATTCAACTTATTATTTATGTGCGGATTTATGTAGAGACACCACCTCATTATGCTGCCCAGGCTAGCTTGGGAGGCTCAAGTGATCCTCCTGCCTCAGCCTTCCAAGTAACCCGGACTACAGGCCACCCAAACCAGGTCTGGCTTCCTGCCACAGGGCAGGATATTTTAAAATTTTCTTTCTCCCTCCACTCCTCGGCCCCAGGCCATCTCATCCCCATTCTGTGCTTTTATTTTCTCGGAAGCTGTTATCACTCCAACAACATAAATTTTAATTAATGTATTTATGTTATGTCTTTGCCCTCTGAATGTCAGCTCTTAAGAGGGCAGGGCTTTTTGTCCTTTTGACTTTTTAAAAATTTTTACTATTGTTTGCTTAACTCCCTGGCACTCGATAAATATTACACAAGCACAGAAGGTAGGTATTACTCTCTTCATCTCATACCTGAGCACAGATTAGAATGTGTCGAGGGTTCCCCAGCTGGTTGGTAGAAGCAGATGTGATTCTGGAGGGTGAGCTAGAATGCCACCCCCTGACAGACAATGCCACCAGCTCCAGGGCTCAGTTCGTAGTTCTCTCTCCATGGCTCTGACTTAGCCTGTCTGTGGGTGCCTTGGGAGAAGACTGTCTGATCCTTGGAAAGTGACCATGGCTGACGAAATGGATCTGTGGCCTGTGAAGGGCCTTGCAGCACCATTCTTTTTCGTTTTTGTTTTTTTGGAGTACCAGGGATCAAACTCGGGACTTTGTACTTGTGAGGCAGGTGCTGGAAACACTGAGCTAAATCCCCGACACCACTCTTTATTGTTCTCTTTTCCCTCCATGCCAGGCATAACTTAGGGCTTAATAAATACTTGATACACTAATGAATTCTATTACAGCAGCAGGTAATAAAAATAATTAGATGACAATAATACGTGACATTTATGGAGTCCTCACACTATGCTCAGCCCTAACCTAAGTCCTTGGTACATGAGTTAAGATGACTCGTTCTCTTATTGTCTTTGTTTTACAGATTAGGAAACAGGCTCAGAGAAGTTAAGAACTTGACCAAGGTCATAGGGCCAGGAAATGGCAGAGGCAGGACTGGGCTTTAGTCTCCTGGCCTGAGTCTAGCTCTTGACCACCTCTCAGGGCCGCCTTTCAGCCTTGGAGAGGTCCATTAAATAATTGCTCTAGGCCAGGGATTTAGCTCAGTGGTTTTGCCTCCTGCTGTGCAAATGCAAGAACCTGAGTTCGATCCCTGGTACCAAAAAATAACTAACTAACTAAATAAATAAATAATTGCTCTGTATGAAAACAAAAAGAAATGTTTTTTACATATTCCCATTTTGTTTCAAGGGATTTCTTTTTCTTTTTTTTGGTACTGGGGATCAAACTCAGGACCTTGCACTTGTGAGGCGGGTGGTGGAACCACTGAGCTAAATCCCCGGCCCTCAAGGGATTTCTTCCAAAGGCTTTGGGAGGCAGTGTTATTTGCTAAATAGTAATAACTAATATTTGCACTGCCCTTGCCGTTTGCAAAGCCATTTCACAGTTTCTCTTGTGAGCCCTGCCAAAACCCAATGAGGAGGCAGGTACTGACAGCTGTCTCCTTTCACTGAGGAGGAGAGGAGAAGTCTGAGGCTCTGGGTGGTTGAGGGAACAGGGTCAAGGTCACCCAGGCAGCAAGAGCAGAGAAAGCATGAACACCTACCACCCTAAAACACCAGCAGCAGTGATACACAATTGTGAACCCAGCTATGGGGGGGGGGGGCGCTGAGGCAGGATGATTGTGAGTTTGAGGCCAGCCTGGGCAGTTTAGCAAGAATTTGTCTCAAAATAAATGAAAATAAAAAGCGCTGGGAGCGCAGCCTTACGGCAGAGTGCTTGCCTAGCATACACAAGACCCCTAGTTCCATCCTCAATACTGAAAAACTCCAAAAATAACAACCAAGATCCAATGCCTCCAGATATAAAACCTCCCAGCAATTTAAAATTAGTTAATCCATGGAAAAGCACTTAGAACAATTCTTGGCACCTAGTAGGTCTCTTATAAATGTTAACGATCATCACCTTCATCAACACCTCCTGGGAACTGGGGTGTTTTGGCTGATGACCGAAGCCTGTCTGTGGACTCTGATGGAAAGATAATCCTTTTCATTCCAGGTCATCCCTGGCAATGTTGAAATAACGATCGATCTCTATTTTCCCTGGAGAGCCATATTCTGTTAGAGCTAGAAAGAACTGTGGAGATGATCTCATCTCCCACCTGCATGTACAGATGGAGAAATTGAGTCCCAGAGAGGGAAAAGCTCAGAAGGCAAAGCAGGGGCAGGACCAAGCCACAGGTACAGTTGCCGGCCCATGCTGCCCTGCTCAGAGATGGGTTTTTACCTACCAGGGCATCTAGCTTCTTAAAGCCTACAGGAAATAATTCATTTGTTTCCCTAGTTGTGAACATACCACCCCAGCCCCACATACAAACAAGTAAAGTATTATAAGCTATTAGCCAGAAAACAGATCGTGTGACTTAATTCCACCTCTGCTAAAGGGCTTAAAATGCTTCAGTGAGTAGCCCAAGATTCATAAATAGACTCTTCAGCTCTTTTTCAAAGAATTATTAACCAGCTCCATCAAAACTGGAACTTGAGCAGTCAAGGAGAAAAAGAGCTGGCAAAAGAAATTCCTTGAAAAAAATTTCCCCACATTCTATATGACTTCTTGTCCCTTCTCCTCCCACTCTCAAGAGTTGGAGGAAGAAGGAATGAATGATGTAACATTATACAAAATGTAAATTTAAAGAACTAATTATGTAAAATTACAAACTCCAACTCACAGATAGATTTCAAAGGAACATGACAGAATGTTTGTAGAACTTAAGGGGTTAGACAACAGATAAAGCAGACGCACACCCCTCAGTAACTTCTCTGCGGGGGCGGGAGTTGGGTCAGAAAAGCCAGGCAGTGTATGGGTGTGGTTCTCTGTCCTGACCATTTCCGGACTAATGATTTTGGGCACCTGTAATTTATGGAGTCGTGTCAGATTTTTCACCTTACTTATTTCTCTAGCCCCGCTGAGTATTAATTCTCCCAGGCGTGGGACTAGCTTTTCATTCCATATGTAGGTCTTGACCAGCTTTAGCTGAGGATTTGGGGGAGGGGAGGGATGACATCGGAAATGAGATTAGAGTTAGTCTTCAAATTGGAGGCATAGGAATAGAAACCCTCTCTATGCTGTTTCTCTGGCCCCTCATGCTTCTTGAGAGAGGGTGAAGTTGAGGCCCAGTAAACAAATGTACAGCTGGCCCTAACACCTCCCGGAATGAAAGTGTTCCCCTTCTCTGAGGGTTTTATCGATTCAAATTAGTTTCCAACATTCTTTCCTCACACAACCCAGGCACAGGAGTGTCACAGGCTTCAGAGCAAATTCCACTGAGGAGACCCAGGAAGCTCTGGCCTGGCTCTCCTCTCCAGAAAGGAAAGTTCAAGAAGAGGGATGCCACACCCAGGGCGGGTGAGGGAGGCTGTGACGACACCTCTAGGAATGCAGGGCCCACGCAGGTGTGTTGGCATCCATGAACTTCCTGCTTAAAAGGCCTGATAAATCAGCTCTGATAAAAGCAATAAAGCTCAATCACCCAATACTCACTGAGCTGGGGCCCTGCTTCCAGGGCGTGGCCTTGCCAACTCTCCAGAGAGGGGGTGAAAGCTGAGACAGGATGTCCCTGAAGCTTGTGCTGTTTTCTAGTCTAGCAGTCATCGTACCGTGGTCCAGGGATCTATGAAGAGTCCTGGGACCTTTTTAGGGGATTTGCAAGGCCAAACTCTTTCTCACAATGTTAAGATGTCATTTCTTGTCACCTTGTCTCACAAGTGTACAGTGGAGTTTTCCAGAAGGGTCATGACATGTGATGACATCATTACTTTGACGACTATTGGAATACATACTTGTATATTTGTTTCAAACAGATTTCAGCTTTAATTCTAATAAATATTAATCAATAGGACAAAAAAAGTACTTGGAAGTCTTCCATAATTTTTAACAGTGTAAAGGGGTTGAGAGCTGCTGTACAAATCCCAACAGTGAAGGGTTTCAGCCCTGAAGCGACCCATGACACCTCCACAGCGAATTTCCAGCTGAGCTTGAGTCACCCAGGTGCTTGGTAACAGGGATGCTGAAGGCAGACTTATTATTCAGCCCAGGATGGTATCCTCTCCACCCCCAAAATTGCCAGAAAAACTTTAAAATCACCCACAAACATTTGGTGGACTGAATCCTCCAGGGAGAAAGATGGGCTTCTCACCCCTGAACTCAGAGAGCAAAGGTAGCCTGGGGAAGCCACACTCTCCACTCCAGCACCCACAGACACATCAGAACCTACCAGAAGACAGGCTGTTTGGGCAAAACATAAATGGCCCCAGCCTTTGGGGGGCTTTCATTCGAGGTGGAAGGGGATTACTCCCAAACCTCACATGCACAAAGAAAAGCGAGAAAATAAACTTGTCAGAGCTGGGAGTAGAAACAAGGTATTAGGAGGGGTCTGCGGCAGGGGCAGGACAGGAGAGGAGCGGAGGTAGGTTCTGAGCACCAAGAGTGAACGGCCCAACCAGTTCTTCTTGCCCCTCTCGGGTTAGGAGCCCCTTCCTCCAGCCCCCAGCCCCGCGCCCGTCCGTGTCCTGGCCCCCAGGTCTCCACAGCTCTCCGAAGAACCGCAGTCCCTAGGGGCGGGGGACTTGGACGGTCTGTCTCCTCCAGCCAGCATCTCGGCTTCTCTCGCCTCCCTACGGTCCCCGCTAAATAGGGTCCGCGCCAGAGCCTGGGGAGTTTAGAGACTGGGGTTTGGTGTTGTTACCCCGGGACACAACTCGGTCTCTCGGGAAACGAAAACAAGGCTGAAGCTGGCGTTTGTGGAAACAGCAAGCCGCCA